GGTTGGGTATCAAAACCCTCAAATTCGTATTTTCAATAAAAACATTTAGTCCTCGCGACTTGACATGGTGCAAAAAATGCGCGTTGAATTTCCGCGGTCTTGCAAACACCCTGGTTGGGAGCCGCTTCCGTGCAAGGAATTTTCAATGGCAGTGGTTGCTGCCGTTGCGGCAAAGGACGGGGTACAGCACGTGGCACAGCACTTTCCGAACACATTCGAACGTGCATTTGTCGTCGTCTAAGGCGGCCATCATCGCAGGGCTGACGATGACCGAAATCGCTGCTTTTCCCGATCTCCGATGAGCAGATCTCCAAAGAGAGGAAAAGCCAACGTATAAAACCTTGGAGCCAGGAATCAGTGCGGGATGTCGCTCCAAGGCTGTTTGGCAGCCTTTCTCGGACATTTCGCCTCAGCTAATGGCTGAATCGGGGCTTGTGTGGGCCCCTAAGCCACAAGCCCACAAAAAGCCAGAGTTTGTGAATACCGTGGCCCATGCTTGTGCGTGGTACACAATCCATCGGAACATAGCAAATCTGTATCGCTCCAAAAGACCCAAAATCACTTTTGCAGCCATTCTCCTTGCACCCAATCCTGTGAAGCTCTGAAACAAGGACAAATCGCTATTCCTGAGACATTGTCCAATTCACTAATTGTTCGCGCTAAATCGAGGCGATCGCCATCATCGTCTCTGGATCCCTGTTAAAAGATTGGGAGACCTCCCTCAGTTGCCTTGACAGCGGGAAGGATCTCGAAAATCCCTGGCCAAAAAATCTGGGCCTGGAATGTCGATCCGATCCTTCTGATCAGGCCTGAATGGGTGCCGCAAGCCACGGCGAGCTCGACGATCAAAGCGTTAGAAACGCGTTTTCTATCTCCATAGCTCTTTGCAAGCGCCCTGGTGAAATCCACTCTGAACGGCGCGCATAGTTCCCCAAGGAATGGTTTGTTTCGACCCTCTTATGGCCAGAGGACCCTTGCTACATAGTATTGCCAAATCCTCAATACTTAATGGATTGACTTGAAAGTTTTTATAGTATACTCCAGCAAGCACATCTTTGGGATAATTTTCATTGAAAAATAATGTATGCGCGATGGATGAATAGCGCCAGAAAATCATAGACGATAATTAACATGGAACGGAGGAAGTATTTGTAGAATATATGCAGTTTTGTCTTGTAGATTACCCGTGATAGACGTTTTGATGGGCAAATGTCTTGGCAATGCTTAAAAACAGAGAAATTTATATGGATCTGAAATGATGATGGAGGTAGCAGATGGCCGCTAGGGAATACATCGTTGCTGGCCACCAGGATCAGTGCGCAAAGTGTGCTTCATGTTCTTTGAGCACAATTACTAACAAACCAAAAGACGACGTCTGATTGGCATAGCGCCATTTGAATAGAATGAGTAATTCATGTTTAGCAATTATCCACGGTCTACATAGTAGCATGCATGGAGAAAGGCATTGAAAGGCGTTATCGCACGAGCCAGACTTGATTTGGTCAATGTGTTTTCAGTCCAAACAACCATACTTTTGGCTCCCCAAAGGACGGGAAAACCACTTCATATTCCTGAATTTTGTCTGCAATTCTCGCAGTTGTCTGCTGTAGCGATTGAATCAGCGGCGTCTGTACCACCTGCGGGAATTTCAACCTGAAGTAGAACTGCAAGAAAATATCTTCGTTGAGCTTGAGATACAGTCGCGTTTCATATTACTGTATCAAGCCATATGCACACAATGGCTAAACAGGCCTGCAGCAACCCCTCAAATTCTGTCCCGGCATGGGACGATATGAACAGTAGAAATATCTTCCTCCATACAGAAAATATTTCAGCCGACATGGAAATTTATGCGCCAGCATAGAAGCTCTATAATAACACCATTGTAAAATGAACAATTATGACTGAAATTGTGGTAATAAAAATAGAAGGCCGCATATTGTGGCTTTTTATCACCATGTACAGTGAAAAAATATCACGTAACTCACGAACAGCAACAGAACAGATGCATGGAAATAAGAAAAATGCGTCAAGCCAAATTTGGATAAGGGACAGCAAGTTCTTCGCAACCGCCCTTGCGTGACCAAATTCATGCGAAACCAAAAATATATTTGAACGTTCAAAATCCCCAAACAAAAGGACCAGCCGAACACCAGTACATTGTATCGAATTCGAGCCAACCTGCTGAGCTCTCTCGCTTTTCCCAACCCTCTTCCCCTCCCGCTTCTTGTGGGATCCTTCCGGCTCCCTCTTTCTTTGTGGCATCCTGCACCGAGGCAGATTGCGAATTTCCGCAGGACGCCCTCCTAAAGTATTTTCCAACGGACAGGCCACACGGCAGCCTGCGCCGCAAAATTCCAAATGCGCTAAACCGCTCCACAAACGCCCGCCCCCCTTCCAGAGGAGTCGCTGCGCGCCCACCCGGAAGCCTCAAGGGCCCCTCCCTCTCCCTCTCTAATGACGTTTCGGACCTAAATTTCCAAGCCGCCACCTTGGGGAGTGAAGCACTCTTTTGACCCTCCCAGCTCCACCGCTGCCCGATTCTCCTTGCGGATCGCCTGCCGATTTTGTGCCGCGCCACACACAACTATCTAGACATGAAACCTTCTGCAAGCGACAACTTTTGAAGGCCGAAAATTCGAAGAGCTCCGCTTCCCCGCTCACGAAGGCCGGGCGTGCACGAATGGTTACCTGCCATCGGCGGAGGAGTCGAAGAGGGCGGCCGTCGTCCGGCCGAAGGGAGTGTTGTCCGGCGGACGGAAATGTCGTCCGGCAGACAGCAGTGTCGTCGAGCGATTCGCGCGATGTCGAGCGGTCGCGCGGAGCGCGGACCCGCACGGGCTCCTCAGCTCTGGGGCTGGAGTTGCTGTTGGGATGCTGGGACTGTGGTTTCGCTTTCATGCCGACGCAGGCCGAGGATGCGTTTTTGAGGTGGATGACCTGCCGGTCCAAAGAAAGGGGAGTGGCTCCCAATCGTTAAACTTTCCATTTGGTATGGCTGAATTTTGCAGTCAGTGCATTGGTTGCACAGTACACCACCCTATTGGTATATTCTTACTTCTTCGCACAGTGTATTTCTTTTAGATAAGATCTGTACTTCAGACTAGTAGAATATATTTTCCCGAGGAACTCTTTATTCAAGAATCGTGACTTGGAAATTGAGTTTCGCCAGGAAAATATCTGCATGTCGTGGATACACATATCTACGATATGGACACATCCCAGGATATGGCCTTCCATGCCCTGGATATAGCAGCAAATATCCATAAAATAGCCAATCCTTGATATGTGTGTCCAGGACGTGGTGCACATATATTATTTGATGTCCAGGATCTGGGACATTTTACCGATGTCAAGTTTACACCGAATCAAAGGGAAGAAAAGGCGCTTTTAAAATGTGTCCTTCATTTAACAACTGCAACAAATTGTTTGACTCTTTGGGAAACTTTCTACCATTTTATGGATTTGATTGGTTCAGTCCCTGTGAAACGGATATTGGACTCTGGATTTACGACGTCTCCCGGGACGAATTGCACTCCGTGTATCTATATCCGAGACTCAACAGCTGTGCATTTTTAATATTCTATGGTGACAGCAGGGACTGTTTGCGCCCCCCTCACCACCCACCTCCACTGTGTCGCTCTTGTGCGTTGAACCTTGACAAAATGCGCCGTGCGCCTTCTGAAGTTGTAAGCCATCTGCGATATGTTTCATGATTTAAATGGACTTTCAGCACATCAAAAGCCGTCGGGAGGGCCTACTATTAACGTTAAATTCCTTCCGCTCACAGAATGCCCCAGCATTCGAACGGATGCAGCAGTAGCTGAAGCTTCATCTCAAGATGACACCTATGCATGGCAAATGCACATTCGATCAGCGGCACAGCGACGGTGCGGCAGCATGTGCCACCATGCTGTGTGCATTTCTCCGCCAGAGTCCCTGGTTCTGAATAGAATTCGCACGCCACTGTACTGATTCAAGCAAGCGGGGGCGTGTGGCTGTTCTGTGACGTATTCGATTCAGCAATGCATGCCCAACGTTGAAAGAACGCCCTTTACACCTGAAACTCGTTTATGTCGCGTCAGTGCGGCCATGTCATGCTGACACGCAAGCACCCACCCCTTCCCGCGGACTTACTGCAAACGACTTGCCCAATTTTCCAGTCTTTGTCCACAGGTCTGGCGGGCACGCTTTCCTGATGAGCAAAGCTGATGAGCAAATAGGTCCTCGACTCTGTATGTACACCACTCCCACTTGCACGCGGGCGGTGTCAGGGGCGTGGGCGATGGCGCTGACGAGTGAGGCTCCACCCCCTGCGAAGGTGGGGCGTCGTTTCCTATTCGCTCCGTCCTTTTTGAGCAGCGTTAAGGGCTTGGAGGCCGGCCAAAGCCAAGGGGGAAGGAGGTGGGCGGTCCGTGCGAAATCCATTGAAGCGCTCGGCGATGTTCCTCTGTGCAAGCTCCCGCAGGGAATCAGGACGGAGCATGAGCGCTCCCGCCTCGGCGCCATAACAATGATGGGATGTTATAGGATCAGACAGCGCCGTGTCCTGGATGTACTACGGAAATCTGATGAAGTGTCGCCTGAATGCTGCAAGACGCTGAAATGAACGTTTGGGGCCCTCAAACCAGCTGAAGTGCTCAGATTCAGCACTGGAAATCCTCTGCTTCTGTATTCTTGGCTGCCTTTTGCGACAGACCATAGCCTTCTGGAGTGCGTTAGGCACAGCGTGAGGGAGATCCATTGCCCATGGCCATTGGGGGGTGAGAAGCGCTCTCAGAAGGCGTGTAGGCAGGCATGAATAGTTTTTGTCAACATGGCAAACACTGCCATGTCCCTAAGCACTCACGATGGTGACACCTATCAGGCGAAGTCTGATGCACTATCTTTGTCAGCGAGAGACCATTGCTTGCTAGCAAATGGCACGTTGGCGGTACTGTAGACGTTGCCAACACCACTACTTCCACAGGGTTGGTGTGCGAAGGCGGACAGCGGCTGCCATGAGCCTAGTGGGCCGGGGTTCAGCTGAACAAGGGGAGCTGGCAGGCCGGACTGGACAAGTGCTCAATGTCATCAACGACAGTGTAGGTTATTGCAAACGGCCAAAAGCAGCCCTCTGCAGTCCTGGTTTCCAGTGGCCTGGAGCATCACCCTCCTAAGACTCTGGCGTGCCTGCTCTGCAGACCAAGTGGATTGTGAGTTCACTTGTGTTTGCGGTGCTGGTGTGGAACCCCAACTTCAAGTCAGCCTGGTGGGTGTCCGGAGCGATCATCAATTCTTTCGTTTGTAAGGTGCGGCAAGCTTTATGTAGGTAGTCACAGCACAATACGAGGAGCCTTTCTCCGTTAGCAGATAATATCCTTAGCTTTGAAGGTCCAGAAATTGGATTCTTTGGTAGTCTGTGAAATTAGAGTTTGCTGCTTTGCTTGGTGTAAGGGTTGCTTGTCTGCAGTCTCCATGCTCTGTACATGTGTGACGCTCAAGCAATCCAGCCCCTGGATCTTCCTGGCAATTGAGACACAGTTCCATCAATAGAGGCAAATACACATGAGACAGGTGTGGTGGTACCTTCATGGTGCACCTTGTGCTGCATGCAGGTGACAACTCTGAACATACAGACATCACTTGCAATGAACCACTGTGACGTTGAGAGGGCGTTGAGTTTTCAGAGTTCTATTTGTCCCAGCACAACTTCTGCCACTCGGCATCCCCGGCCTTGCTGTGAATTCAACTTCATCAGTTTTTGCATGAGAAACTGCACTTGTCCGCTCGGCCCCGTGATGCTTTGCAAACTGCTCTACACGACTCTCATCGTTGTGTAAGGATGTTTCTGGGACAAAAGCAGCATGCACACCCTTAGCTGAAGCTGGAAAACCAATCTGCCCAATGGCTTGAAACCAGGGTTCAGGGTGCACAAACTACACAAATCCGGAGCAGATTACAACTCTTGGAGAGGAGCTTGCAGCATGAATTGACCTGCTTCCATGTTGCTTGGCACTGCAGACACTGAAGCTGGTAATCAACGAGACCCGTCCTGAGAGCTCCAGAAGGCGTGAGCCTGGCATGCCTTCTTCTCATGCAAACAGTATGTTGTTTATCATGTTGTGGAACAATACAACGGCCTGACTGTGAGAAAGGAGGGGGGGTGGGGGTGGGGGGGGGGCGTTCTGAGTGGGTGAGTTAAGCAATGCACTGCTACAGCAGACGAGTCCCTGGAGGGGCTGTAGGCACCTGTTTCATGATGTAGATCCTATGCATGTGGAAATCAGCAGCCACACATGTTGCAAAGGGCTCTGTGAATCTATTGCCAGTACACGTATGGAGTGGTGTTTCATTCTTTCCTGATGCAGAAAAGGACCAGATGTCCGAAGGGCACATAGGATGCACCACATTGTTGTGCAGAACATGTCCGCCGCTTCAGGACTGCAGGCGTCTGCGTGCAACGCATCTGCCTGCAAATCTTTCGAGTTTGTTTCAATGCCTGTTGCATACCACCCTGTGCTTCATCGAATAAATGGTCCTGTAGCCGTCGCTGGCTGCCACGGATTTTTATGTGACATGCCGGAATTCATAATGTTAATCATATGACCAGACGCCGCGTTTAACAGACGGGTGCATGCCTGAATATTCAAGACTCAAGGACTGTATCCAATGACTGCACCGACCTGGCTAGTGATTCACCAACTGGCGCACAATTCGCGCAATGACCCACCACAGATGAACGATGCTGTACATCACCAAAATTGACTTGAAACATTGATGAACCGCTGCCAAGCTTGCATCGATCTCGAATTGGTCGCCATTCGGCCGTGCCCTGCCCTGGCGGTTCTGCACCATCCCCCCGCGATTCCGCACCAAAGGCGAACTCTTCTGAAGCGAATTGCTTTGCACCTGACTGCAGGTCTGGCGTTCCTGTCCATCTTCTCTGCACTCGCCCTGTACTCTGAACGCAGCATTCCAGGCACCACGGTCGTGGCCGCCACCATCGTTGCCTCGGCGATGTTCTTGGTGAGGAGGCCAGGATGGGCGCCACGAGCGATCAGCGTGGCGATCGCTTGTGACAGAATGCCCGCGCAGTTGGTTCCTTTGTTTCAGCTTTGTTCGATTTCAGCTTGAAGCTGAAATACGGAGGAATGAATACAGGAGGAATTAATTTAGCAAGAATTAGCAATTCCTCCTGCATAACAGCCGCGCTCGACGGTGCATTGGCCTGGGCTGCCATTCAACGATTTCTCGACCTCGGATTGCCTGTTCAAGATGGGGAATTGGCGCGTGCTCCCTGGCCTCGATATGCAGTATTATATATCGAACACCAGTGCACTGCACAAGTACGCTTGTACAGGGCTACACTACACCAGCGCACTCCGCTAGTTAACCGGTACTCATTGTTGTAGTGTTTCCTGACAGTGAATGGTGGAAACTGAAATGTGTGGGAGCGGTGGTGGCAGAGCTGGCTGAGGGTCGCGCTGGGAGATCACACCACCGCCCAGGTGCTCGCGGGGTTTGCCTTGGGGAGCAGCCTCGCGGCGGCGTGGTGGGGAATCGGCACAGCCACGGCATACCCCCTTCTCACGTCCTCCCCCAATCTGCGGCTCCTGCTGTGTGCAGTGACAGTGGTGGCCATCGGCCTGTTTGCGGGCGCCAACCTGGCTCCCAAAGTGCTGGCCGTGCTCGGGATGTCGGGCGGATCCAAAGAGGCGTGAGTCCTCATGCATGGGCACTTGCAAAACATGGGTTTGCAAATCCCTGAACTTGGGGCGGGAGTGGAGACGGGGTGGCCGGGCCGACGCTTCGATGGTTGGATGAAATGGTGGCTGGAGAGGGGCCGCGAATGCGCCAAAGCCGATCTCTTCGGTGACGGGTCGTCTTCGATGTTCTTTTGTTTTGGTTATCCAGACTATCCGATCCGCGTACATCCCTTTGAAGGGAAATTCTTGTTGGTCGATTTCAATCTAGAATAGCAAAGAAGGCTGAAGGAGGGATCTCCGTATGGACATGCACTCGGTCGTGTGTCCAAGAGCAATTGCTGTGTGCGCTGGACGCTGCATCGACTCCTATGCGCTGATTATGGCCTTCAAATGTCCCTGTACGTGAACGCCAGACCGATGCTCAATTTGCGTGCCTCCTGTGCTGCCCTTGGACGCCTGTCAGCTGGGATTCTTAAGTACGGCATTGTGTTATATTTCTCAGGATATGATTCCATTTTCTTTGGAGCGAGGCAAACGCTCCACAGTCCGCTTCTTCTTTCTTCAGCAGTCCTCGCAATGCCATTCCGGGTCATTGTGCCATGCAGGTGACAAAATCGGAAATTTACAGCTGCGAAATCCCATTCTTGGGCCCGGGACAATCCAACTCTACGCGTGTGTCGTCAGCACGAGCCTCCCAGCCACATGCACACACCTATCTACCTGTCTCACCAACATCTGCTGAAAAGTCAGGGATCAAGATGCTTGGTATTCATGTCATGAACATCTGGAACACGCACCCCCGCCCATCTCTCCAACACCCGCTCTGCGGCTGCTCAACTCGCGACACAAAAATCCTCCAACCTCGGCTGCTGCCCTCTGGCCGCTGCCAGACAAGCGGCACCACTTCCGCATCCCTCCCCCTACCCTCGCCATCAACTGCAAACAAGGGCACGGGACAGCTGCGGCCTCGTCCACATGAACGGCGCGATTCGAGGCCCATGCCCGCCAAGAAACGGTTCTCGCTAGTTTGCGGACACCCCTCTAACAGAAAATGGACAGGTATTCTAACCCCCAGCATCTACGAACAACGGAACGGAAGGCTACAAGGTGCTCTCCACACAACTGGTACTTCATCGGCACGGATGCCGCTATTGGAGTCCCATAGGTGCGAGAAAATTTACGTCGGGCTGGAGCTGGTCGCCCACGTAGCAGGTGGCCTCTTCGAATGGTGCGCTGCCCTCTCCTGGACAAATCCTCAGCGTGAAGTTCTGTCCACCCTGGAAGATGCAGGTGGCCTCCGTGGTGGGCCTCACCGACACCAGGCAGTCGTCGTTGGTGAAGAGGGGCGAGCAAGAATAAGAGGAGCTTCCTGCACGCAAATTCGCCGACCAGGGCAGGCATGTCGGCGACCCCAAGCATCCACTGTGTGGTCCACAATTGCAAGCAATGTGTTCGTCGAAGAGGGACACAACTCCAGCCTAGGACCATCGAGGAGATGAGATGCACAAGATGAGGTGCTGTGGAGGTGAAATTTGCGTGAACGCTTGTATATCTGCGCTCGTCCAAAAATTCCAGAAGGAGCAAGGGCACAAGGGTGTGTGTAACATTAAACTGGGAATTCTCAAGAATGGAGGCTGAGCGAGGGTGACTGAAATCGATTCCAGAGTAGATTCAGGAGGCCACCCTTACCTTGGACAAATATGGAAGCCGACATCGCCAGCATCAGAGCAGAAATCTGCGTCCAGAAAAGACACCTGTCAGCAACGCATCGACTCCATGATGACGTGGCAGCCAATTGGTGCTTGTCCTCTCTGCGGACAAAATTGTTCAGCCTTTTCGCCAAAAGTCCCGTGCTCTCAAATTGCTACAGTCAACCTGAACCCAAAACCAAACTGCTGGAAAGCCTACAGTTTCAGCACAGAATCACCCCATCAACATAAAGGCCTGATGGCTTGCATATTGCTGCACCCTCTCACATGTTGCCCAAACATCGGGGCATCCAGGTGTTACCATTGGACACGTGACTTTCTCCTTGTGGGTATCCTTGTCGCGTGTCTGTTGTGATGGACACGAGGGTTGGGCGTTCTGCCGACAAATATCACCGGGGCGTTGCAGACCTCCAGCAATTGCTGTTTATCTTTCAAGTTGAGGAGTAGAAACACATGGCCTCGACAATGTATAATTTTTTATGTTGTCCACATGGAAATGTGCACTGGTTCATTCATTCCTACTTGTCGCCCTGCAATATGCTGTCACCCCATCACCCCAAAAACAATCCACAATAAAAAAACACCTCCCATCCCAGACCTAGATTTCTTAGATCGAACGAACAGTTTACTGACCATTACAGTCAAGAAAAATACACCATGCTCCAAACCCACCAACCACCACAGGGAACTCACGGCCTGTACTCAAGGGATAAAATAAAATCGCTGTTTCCAGTTACATTCGGAATCAAATACAGTATAGCCAGTCCCTCAAAGTCCCAAATATCAGCCGCCACAATTGAAAGGGACAACTCACCGGGTGGTTGAATTCTGCGAAGAGTGCTATGCACCAGGCCGTGAAGTAGTGATGGATGTGCACATTGCAGTAGTGATTGTGCCCAAGAAAAACAGCTGCCACAACATAAAACCTGGCACAGCAAAACAGTACCCATGAATGTACGCCCAAAGAACTGGGTCATGCTTAGGCAAGAGCAATCGTTGAAGTGTGTAACACAGCTGTCACGTATTCTGACACATCAGGATTATGGTAATTTTCTGACCGTCGCGCATTCTGAGGTGCGACAGCATGGCACACGACCACCTACCCAAAAACAACGAGCCTTGAGAGCAGATACACAACAAAGCCCACTGCTGTCTTCCGCCTTGCAGCCAAGTAGAGGTGGACCAGCAAGAAGATCACGGCGACACCACCCACTGCGATGACAAGCATTGCAACCTTTAGCATAGATCCCCATCATACCTTTCCTGGAACAGATTGCAGATCTGCTCATTCACACCTTGGGTTATGGCAGACCACGTTCGTTCCACAACCCAAGCCAGGGCTTGCAACTGAGCACACAAGAGTGCAGGGCCAACAACTGTTCCTGCCTAACCAATGATACCTTATAATGGTAGGTTGTCCCCCTGAATGTGTCATGTCCAGATTTTGAGAGGACTCTTGCTCAACTCACAATGGCCTCCATGAGCATATGCTGTGCTGGTGTTACGTTCTGAATCAGAATTGTTGCTCACAGAGAGTGTGAGTGTTTGTGTGGACAGTAGACAAAGGTGTTTGATGCAACCATGTCTCGTTCAGCACAAGCCAAAAGATGATACGAGCATCTGCATCTGGGAGAGGCTCATGTATATCCGATTTTGTCCACCTGCCTGGAGATGGCTTTTGCGAACATAGGCAGCTAGATGAGTCAGAAACACAGGTATATTTCAACACAGCAAACAGGGCAGCCTGTTTGCAGTTGAACTACAGGTGTCAACGAATGTTTTAAATACCGATGATAGTTCGAACATACGGGATGTGATCCAACATTAAGGCGTGCCACTGTGCATATCCATCAGTGTTTGAACAACCACACTGCATGTTTCAACTGTGTCCTAGACTACCTGGCCAAGGCCATTGCACACTTCTCCTGATGCACACAGAAACATCTGCAATATCTTTCCCTGTCAGGAATAAAGCCAAAAAAAGCATCAAATTCAAGATATTGATCATGAGTTGGTCTGCCCATACTGTGAAATATCTCTCTTCATGCGAGAGGTATTTAAACAAGCCAAAATGGGCTGTGCTCACATGATCCAACAGCAGCCCACATGCCGGGCCCCCAGCTTGTGATGTCCTCCATGCTGTGTGCCATGCATCCATAGTCGCTCACGTACGAGTATATGGGGCTTGTCACAAAGAAGATCAAAAAGAAATACCAGCGGTCCCTACACAGCAGCAAATTGCAAGCAAGTTCAGATCACTGGTAGGGCGGTGAATTCAAGTTCGCTCCATTCTTGAATACGCTCTCGTCAGTGTCCTTAGCACTTCATCAGTGGTCAACGCTGTCCTCTTGCATGTCAGGCGCCCCAAGTACTGTGCACAGATAACAGAATTTACCCAAAAAATGGTTGTTCATAATCAGTTGGAAGGTGGAAAGCAGATGAAGAACCCACAAACCATCGATTACCAGATACTGCTGTGGCCTCCACACCACATTAGACTTATACATGGCAGCGATCGACACATCCGATTTGGGTACATCTCATCAAAGACTAAGACACACGCTGCTCAACATTGTGTAGTTCTATTTGTGCACCTAGAGATCCAGCTTCTGGCCACACCAACTCTTTGCAAAAGTGTTAACATCCTTGCCGACGTGTGGTGCAGCCAATGCAGTCCTATTTCTTGTATATTATAAAGATTGGCTGCACCTGAATATCTACCAGACAATGCACTATTTGTGACAGTCCCATAACAAAGCTGGTCTTCAGTAAAATCTCGTCAATTCGGCTGGACAGAAATGACCAGTGCAGCATCAAATGCTGATCTGGTTCCTGTTCCCTGTGTTACCTTGACTCATGATACAACAGCAGTTTGCTGTCCTGTGGCAAATATAGCAAGTGACACAATAGACATTAACCAGCAACTCGAAAATCGTTGGGCTCGATGCAATAGGAGCAAGAGAAAAGGCAACTACCAAACTGAAATGAATACCAGCCCCACTAACTGGACATCAATTGTGCGTCATTGTGGGTGCTGTTCGTGGATGCTATCCTACTGCCAACATTCACTGGCTGCAGGGAAATGTTGGCCCAGATCTGTAATCACAAATGATCCATGGCTGTGATCCCATACCATTGCCGATTTGGTGTTCCATTGCTACCGTTGCCATTTTGGTGTTATGTGTTAAGCCTCCCTGCATTGAGACCAAAAACCAACACAACAACTGCCACTGCGCTCCACACAACAATTGATATAAAATAGGTGCGCCTCACCAGGTGAACAGCCAACTGAATCGGTTGTACTCTGTGATGTCAATGAACCATCCCAGGAGGAAACCGAACAGCAAAAAATGCGACACAGTCTCATACATCAGGTGTGTGTCAAAAGCATCAGCATCCGATGGCATCTTCAGTGTCTCTGCAAGAGTCCTGGTCAGGACAAACTGCAGCACCAACAGCCCTTCCCAGGCCCCCTGAATTGACAGCACAGGGCACAGAAGCTTCGGTGCATGAACCGACAAAATAATGCTGGATGATGCAGTGCCCATCAACTCATCTCATAGTGCAAGGGTGCTGTTCGCAATGTGCTCTTGGCACATATACTCAAATAAACCCACACAACCTGGTGGCCTTCATGGCAAGCCAAGAGTAACCCAGGGTTGTACAAACACTGAAGACCAAGATTAACTGCATTGAAGTCAAACAGGCCAAGAAGGACTTGGCCCCTGAAATGCAAGCAAGGGTTTCAGGCAGACAATGCTATTCCACATTTCGGTGGATGAGAATCGAAGGTATGCACATCTTTGGAGACTGACAAACAGGGATGGAGAGACACTGCTGTTTCAGTATTTGAACTGCTGTGCAGTCAGACTGACAACCAGAAACATGTCTTGCATGGCTGGCTGTGTTTGAGATTGTGAAGTCACTTTCACACTGTAGACCTTTTGGGCTTTACATCACATAGCATTCCTTGCTATGTGGTGCAAGGCCCACATCCCCTCTCCTGGGACTTGGGCCCTGAAACTTGATGCAAACTTTTGAGGCAATTGCCTCAAAGAGAAACCTATCCTTACAGCTTAGATGTGAAGCGATATTTAGGAAGCAAACAACACCCTGCCTGTGTACCCTGCACAGAGAGCTGTGGTTGTGCCATGTGACGATGTCCACAGTAAGTGTTGGCAGAATGGCAGAAACAGTCATAAATTTGTGTGGCAACTGTTAAGTTGTCGGCTGCAGCAATTACTATCTGCTGCTGCATTCAGGTAGAGCCAAGGAGGATTTGTGGACTCCTGCTCCATTCTTTGGGGTTGGGACTTTCAGCACACGAATTCATTCATTGGACCCTTTGACAACGAATATCTGAAGCTCACTGCATTGGCTGTGTTGAAGATCGGTGGCAAAAGGCCTCTCAGTTAGCTGTCTCCTGCCCTGTTCACTATTGTGTGCCACTGTACCTCACTGCACAAAGAAGATTCGCAGTTCACTTGTTCCCAAACTCAATCCGGATGTATTACCTGTTCACAAACAAATACCAGCATCCACTGAATGCTTGCCTGACTCTGTAGATACCAGATGCGCTAAACCTTCTACGGTGACCTGCTGTCCCAACATGAGTTCTGTTACCTTGCACAACACTACTAGGGTTCAAGCACTATGCCTAAACACTCACAAAAGCAGCTGTTATGCCTCCCCCAGCCCCTGTTGCTGCTGTCAAGAGAATGGCAAGGCACTCACCATGTAGATATACTTCAAGGAGTATGCATCGCGCAGTCGTGGTGGTCTTGGCAGCGTGGGTGGCAATACCCCATCTGCCAGTAAGGGAATGCCCTGCAATCGAAGGTGCGCACACAGCTTCACCAAACCAAGGGGACATCCAACAATTAGTGTTGAAGTTCTTCTTGCAGAAACATAGTCTTTCTGCTGAGAGTCACACACTCTTCAGGAGTTAATGTATCCTGAACCCCCAGAACACGAACCACAAAACAGACTGCAGTTTCAGCAATATGCATATGCAGCACAGTCACCAAAAGACTAGATTCGCAACTGAAGACGCCAAAGGTTGTGGGTGCCTGCAATGGAACAGTTGGGGGAGAGACGATCTGCTTGATTTCTTGCACCCACAGGGTTCATGGGTGCACTCTGTTAGCAGAGTTTGTTGAGAAGAGGGGAACAAAGCGGTCTTGCACAACAGCAGCGACATGTGCCCACAACAATTGTGTCCCGCAGGAGCTCCATGTCACAGACAACTGCAGAGCCCAACCAAAGGGTCAACAGGTGCAACAGGCACAGCAGCCACTCTCAGGGGAGAATTCTGCAGATGGCCACTTTTCTTCTGAACCTCAATACAGCACCACAGATACTGAGAACTGGTTCCCAGATGACAAGGTGAACGCGTCCTGGCTCTCAACTCCTGGTGCGAGAGCATCGTCCTAACCGCCGGCGTTTCGAAGCACGTCCAGTTGTGCCCGATTTGGTAACAGGAGGGGGCCACTTTTCGAGCGGTCACCACCTGGCAACGCTTAATGTGTTCACCCGAGAGCCAAACCGCAAGCCAAACACGCCAATACAAACCCCAAGGCATCCAGCCCAACTGCATACCTCAATCCGCTCTGCAAGCCACAGTTTCGCATCAACCCCCCGCACCCCACCCCACCGCCCCTCGACGGTACGGCACCCGCCCATCTTCCGCATCTGCGCCCGACCGCGACTCGTGCCCCTCTCGCCACAGCCCCGCCGCTGTGGGCGCACAAAGCCGCGCGGCGACGTCCCGTCCAGCTCCACGATCGGGCCAGCAATTGAAGACGCTCGAACGCCCCATCGCTTCGCCCCACGCCATGTCGCTCCGCACCCCCCAACCCACCAACCCGCTCCGCCCTTCGCGGCGCCCGCGTTGCGCGCTTTTTCAGCCGCACCAGAGACCCTACAACTCTACACCATCTCATATCAAGGGAACGGTCACGGGGACATCTGCCCCCTTTGTGCGACCCGTTCCTTCTCATCTTGCGACGAATCCCGCCCGCCCCGCTCCTTCCCGCCGTCCACAACGACCGCCAAACCGTTCCCCGCCCACAGGCCCGCCCCAATGCCCCAAGCGCCCTTATCCCCCCTCAAACTCTCCAAAGCTCGAGATTCTCGCGCCAAGCCGCGATCGGCGATCAGCCTTACCTCGGGATCCGTGGCGTCGCGCCCGGCCTGCGCGGGCGGGTCGTTCGCCGCCGACGGCAGCAGAGCCTGCCTCAGGTCGGCGGCCATCAGCCCGGCTCGGCGCGGGGCGGGCGGCGGGCCGTCCCACGGCCACCAGCGTCGACTGGGCCACGAGTGTGGAGGCACAGGGACCCGGTGAGAGGGTGAGGGGCGTGGGGTGGCGCGCGGGCCGCGTACTTTGGGGCTTGTCCCCGCGTGTCCGTCGCCTGCCTGCGCCGGCACCCCGTTACTGTCCCCCCACACCGCGGCTGTGTGCCCACTAAGTACTGGTGTCGGGCACCCCACAGCCTTCACCCAGGCTGATCGGGCATGGATCCACGGCCGCTGGGGGGGATTGTTCCCTGGCGTTGCCCGTGCAAGTGCGTTTTGCCGTACACGTGGCCATTTCTTGGGACTGCAAGGCTTCAAGTTCAGAATTTTCTCCCAGCTCTCGTTGGATCAAGGGCTGTTAAAGTTGGCCATTTCCAGGCCATAAATGACATGGCAAATGTCTCCATCAACTTCATTTTCCCAGCATCTACCAGCAACATTTCCAGCAGCATCGACTGACCACCATTAGTTACATCATCAAGAGCATCTTACATCGGAAGATAGCGGTAGCATGAGGAGCGCTCAATAAGCTACAATCCGACCAGAACTGTACAAGATCAAGCCGCTCAGCAATCACAATTCCGGAACCAGTTCCAATGTACAGTTTCGCTACCCTGCATGACCAACTACGCATCCACATGCAAGGTCCCGTCCGACTTTGACGCCCAGCATGGGATAACGACATCCTCTCACACACCCACAAGCCGTCAAGCGACCAGTCCGACATCCAAACACCGTCCAAGACCCCCAAAACGGCAAAAGCGCACAGCAGCGCTTCCCTGCATTCTGACCATCCTGCACCGCGAGCCCCGCCTCCCAGTCCCACTGCCCAGCAGCTGGTTGGCAGTTTCCCGGCAGCCATGACGGCAACGCGATTCCGCCAGGTCGAAAGCTGGCGCTTTTTGATCGCCCAGTGGCTCGCCTTCGGCGACCTCTGGCTCTCGAGATGGTACCTCGAGAAGTCTGACTGCCCTCCAGGATACTGGAGTTTTGGGCTTACGGTAGTCTTGCCGTTCAGCGACGAGGACGCGCCGTGGCTGCATCACCAGCGAGATCATGGGGAAGAATCACTGCGGTATCGGTTGCAAGAGGAGGCGCGCGAGGCGTACTGCCGCACCGTGTCAACGCAATTGACGTCAGGACATCTGCCTGGACCTAGGGAGAAGCCGGACTGGAACCCTGCCTACAAGCCCGAGGCCGTGTACCGCCCCTGGGCACTCCAGGTGTATCCCCATCCGCATCGGCCGTACACCGGCATGGGTACGCAGGCGTTCCGGCAACGCATCGCGGCGATGATTGAGCGTGAAGGCGGACGGATCCAGGCCTGGCGCGGTGCGGAGATCAACTTTTACTATCGCCAGGTACATGTGAGCCTTGACATCAGCGTGCCGCACTCCGATGAGCGCTGCTGGCGTATGGAGGGTGGAGGCGTCACCCGCCGTGAGTACGCGGCCACGCATCCGTCCAGCGCGTCTGAGGTCTTCGTCCGTGATCAGAAGGAGTTCGGTGTGCAAACGGAACCCAACGCGGCCGTACTGCCCTCCGCCGCCTTCATGGAAGCCAGCGCGATCGTGGCTCGACGCCTCAATGCTGGCAAGGAACCGTATACAGCCGTGGAGCTGCGCGCGGAGGAGCGAGCCTGGCGGAGGGCCATCCGACGTCAGCGACGGGAGGCGAGGCTGCGTGGACCAGTCCGAGATGACGTCATGGAGGATGCGCCCACTGATGAGCCACCGACTGTACCGGCAACCCTTGGCACCTCCACGATGACGACACCTGACCTGCCACCCGGATTTGATGGATCGACAATCAGGCGCGATTTATCCTTCCGCACAGCCGGTTTCGGGAGGCCGCTGCCCACGGAAAGTCGGTAGACATGTCGAAGACAGTGACAAGGCGGCGTCCGGCTGGCAGATGACGCGATGGGTGGCGGCCACCTGAAGCCAGCTGGCATGGTTGGAGTTGTCCGAGGAGTTCCTTGGCGGAGAATGATCGTTGGGATGTCCTGGCTGTCGTGTGAACGAACGGGTCGATCTGTACTGGAACCTTGGGGTGATTGGGTCGTGTCGTGTCCGGTTGGATGAGTGAACGGGGAGACATGACGAGAAGGAGTGAACACATGGTTGCCAGTTGTACCCGAAAGACGATCCTGTAATAAATAGCCGCGGGGAGTCTGTCCCGACAGCTCTCCGGCAGGCCTCTGTGTGACCATCTCTGTGTCCCAGCCGCCTGTACCTCCCACCGTCGCGCCACAGCCCCCCGCCGGCTCGACCGCTCACCGGTCTTGCCCTCTTGCGGTACCCGTGTGTCCGCAAGCCGGCCTAAGGAGCCCCGAGGCTCTATGGCGTTTCTCACACTCGCGTTGAGTGGTGAGTAAGACTTTCGTGGGATCCGGAGTGACTGAGGGCGGCGCATTACGCAAGGCGAGCGCCGTCGCTGGTGCTGGAGTGCCGTAGCACCCTACGGGAGTGCGGATCGGCCGGTACGCGCAACGAGTGGACGCTGTGAGGACGTTGCGTCGTACGGAACTGGTGGAGACCTCTGCGGTGAGGTGCGAGGGTGATATGAGCTTTCCGGGATCGCCCATGGAAGGAGCTGCCGTCATGGCGGCGTTGGCTGGCGCTGTCGGATGGAGCGTGAGGTTCCTGGGTGCTGGCATCCAGTGGATTGGGGAACTCTTGGTGACCCTACTCGGGTGGCTGGCCTGGATGCTGAAGATTGATGAGACGAAGACGAATTCAATTATAGGAGCGGTCAGAATGGTCTATAATGGCCTGGCCCTCCTCATTTTGTTCAACATGACTGCCGCCATTTTCTGCGCGATGGGGCAACTTCTGCAGGGCCCAAGCCACCTTAGCATCCACAGCTTCATTTGGGTATCTGATACCAGGCATGTACGGTACATTGATAATGGCAGGTACGGTACATTAATGAATGCAGGTACGGTACATTGATGATGGCAGGTACGGTACATTAATGAAGGCCGGTACGGTACATTGATGAGGAAACAATCAAAAGAGTACCATGTTTTCTGCTCAGGATTTCCGTATTTCGAAACATTTGCACCATTTTTGAGTGACTTAGTGTTCCACAATCAACTGAACGAGTGCCCTTTTTCTCGTTCCACATTGGCCCTGGCAAAGGCTGCATGAACAGAAGCCGTGCTGGATGGCTTTGTAAAACCGGTGCAACTGCAACCCTTTCCATCGTGCTGAAACACAAGCCGCACATTTTATCGAGGAAGGGTCTTTTGCCAGCGGGCAGACAGCAGATTTCTGCAATGCATTTAAGGCCATTGTTCCCTGCATTTCACGAAGGCAGTGTGCTGACCAACCACCGGTTGTAAACTACAGCTGTGGCATTCATCTCGATGTCTGTGCACAAAAATTCCTATGGAAACGTCCTTGCGCGATTATCTTCCCAACTATGCCACCCACCCATTGCCGGCACGTGATGCACCGTGTGAATGCGGCCTGTATGCAGGCTTTTTATTTACAATTACGTGTATGCTGTTACGTTTACGTTTTCACACATGAACACGTACATTCACAAAAGTGGCTATTTTAACGGCTGTATTTACGTTTTTACGGCTCGCTGGGACACCTAGGTTACAGTACGAAAATCGCGTACAGTGATCAGTCCTCGCCCCCTCGAGCATGCGCAACACAGCGTCCACCTGGCCCTCTGTAAGGGGAGACGCTATGTCGATTTTGGTACGCTTAGCGTCATTCTAGCGTCAAGCCTCATGTCGAAGGCAGGATGACTCAGCTACATTACATAACGGCGCTGGACAACATCGAGTTGTTTTTAAGGAACATAAGCGGCCAGATTTGCAAAGATTATACCGGACTGGACAGCGGAATGATAAAGGCCGTTGTGCATGGTTGGGGCTGCATTGATGGCTGTCTATCGAGGTATTCTGGGGCTTTCATTAAGGAGTGATTGCATGAGAGAGGTTTTGGAATAAGTCGCGATCTGTTTGGCACTGATCAGCAGCGTTTTTTGGTGTCTCGCCACTTAAGCCGATTTTGTGTTGATTACGTAATCTCGGCGTCACAGGTCCGGACCCCTCCCAACCCCCCACCCCAGCGTCAAATTGACGCTAAGCTTAGCGTATCAAATTCGACATTGTGTCTTCCCTAGGGACATCGTCGAACAAAAATGCGTTTACTGCGCACTCCAGCGCATCAGGCTGCCACTCCCTGGACTCCGCAAGTCTGTGCGTACTGTATTTAAGTACAAAGGCGGGTGCTTACATTGTATTTACGCATGTTTACGCACAAAAACGTAAATACGATCCGTGTTTACCGTAAATATTGAGGCTGCCTGTATGAACTGTGGCTGCCTATAGGGTAGCTACCCGCAGGCCATTCTGGCACTGTAGATATGTGTCTCGGATATTTTTGGCATTGCTGATTGTTATGAGAGTTTTCCTTTTCCCGTCCCCAGGTGCTTGATGTTCTATCGAATTGACGTAAGCTTCTGCAATTTTTTGCAGAATAAGAGGTTGAGCGTTGTCGCCTGCGGAAGTGCTAAATGTACACTGTGGTATGTGCTCAATATCCCACAATTGCCACACTGTACACCACTCAGCTACACAAACGTGGAAAATGCGGCGGTAAAACACAAAGAAACGCTCATGAGCGTCTGCCACCTATTTAGGTGGCATATCATGTCATCGGCTGACACTGTGCATCATCAGGATTCAATCCAAATGCAGGGCCAGATACTTGTTCGAACCAAGCTTGGGGTTAAACTTCTGATATTTTGGCAGACAGGCGACATCATCATCATCAAAATCCATGGATTACATTTGTCACAAAATGACAAAACACAGCCCGTGCACCTGGTAGGCGATGATGGGCGTGGAAACCAAGCAGATAATATGTTCGGAATCGATAATTCATGGTCCCATATCGCCACTCCCTATTGTCCCATGAAATGCAGTGAGCTAGCATGAGTAATAAAATCCTTGTGGATTATGTTCAGTGTATGTAGCAAAGAGAAATCAGTCCCAACCCTCATATCCCATATCCCACACGAGCCCAAGCGCATCGTACGTATGTTAGAAAGCGCACCAAGATTCCAAGGCCTTGTGGCACTAGTGCAGAAATGTCCCACGGAACTGTTGCATCTACCAAACGCCTCGCAGATTCATGGCATGTGAAACGGGCATTTGAATAGGCTGTACAATCCAAGAAAATATGTGCACGATCCTCCCGCCAAAATCCACACATACGGCAAGCTGGCGAATTAAAGAGCTGGCAGCGAAAAAGAAAAAATCGACATGGAAAAGCATCAGCCAAAAATTGACATAGAAATGCGACTTCGGCTCGTGAGAAGGGCTTTTCCCTACCAAGAGAAGGTGTGAATATCCAATTCACAGCCAAGGCAGAATGCAGCGCTGCCGTCCGTTGCCAATCATGATTAGCCCGTGCATTGTGGTATTTGGTCACACGCCGTCACAGGCGACATTGTTCGCCTTGACATCTGCTGGGTAATATCGAGCACAAATATGTGCACAGAAATGTCTATATTGCGACATAAACGAACGCTGTGGCCCAACAGGAGATCAAAAGCAGCATCACATTTGGTGTGTGGTACTTCTGGATTGGCTCAAAGAGTCGTAACAAGAAAATAGGTAATGTAGCTTGTGGGGTTCGTGCAGGACTCTTGTGTTGCCCTGAGGCGCTTGAAAAGGAAGGGTCTGAATATGTAATGCATAATTTACTCAATTGCTTAATCAGCCACACACGAAATGGAGTCTGCATGCATCAAAGCGACTATGGACTCGTGATGGAACGGATTCTGTATCTGTGGTGGAGACCCGGCCGTCTTCTTCAACTTATTCGATTTCATCGGCTGTCAAATCGTACTATTGTGCAATTGCATGGACAGAAGACGGTATGGCCACACAGCCGTATGATGCACCATATCTTACGGCGGTGCACCAGTGCATAGTCATCGACGTGTTTGAGGGACCGTTTTCTACCAGCCTATGCATCATGCGCGCCCTACCGGCGATAACTTCCTACGATGGGCGAAGTGGCTAGCTTGGTCCCTGGCAGATCATCCAACTAAATAGAAGATCTGCATTGTTAATACATCCCTTCGTTGCCAACGGGCTACCTGAGGAATGACAAAATGAGAGCCTTCCCACAACCGCCTTCATGAGCAGAATGGAGCAAAAATTGGTGCGACCTTTCCACCTTGCAGAAATTAGCGCACAAGCTTCCGACTACACCGAGAAAATCATGAGAAAGAAAGCATCTTGACGAGGCATGGAGGATTGGTATGGATCAGCCTGTCATTCTGAGCCATTCTTCTGATGGATGACGCAATGGCTTTGTATTTCACCATCAGTGCACCCGCAACTTCTTGCGACGGATCAAGATCAGAATTAACCGGAGTTTGGCATTTGGGCAGAAATAATCTACAACCAGAAATCAAGTAGAGTTGATACTAGCGGGTGTAACCATTGAGTTGTCCGGAGAGAAATCCTGCAGCCAATTTTTTGGACAGGTAAGTTGTTGGGCGGATATCTTGGGAAAGGCTGCCAGCAGGAAAGACATGGTATTTGGCACATGTGCCAATGGCCGTCGACACATTTCAGGTCAGCAACATGTCGCCACATTGTGCAATACACAAATTGGAAGCGCATCTTCCTCCGGCTCCTTTCGCAGCCATAGCTCCAGGTTCCACGTTTCCGATTGCCATAGAACACCTCTGTTAACGTCGGTCTGGAACGGAGTACACTAAAACCAAAGATATTTGCCATTGGTATGATTGTTTCTATACTAAAATCCACGAATCAAGAAATCACGCGTCTGGGCGAGGATTCATTGAACAACCCTCTATTAATCCAAGGAAAGATTTGGCCGACGTTGCAACAGACAACGCAAATACACAATTCTATACCGGCGATCCTGGATCGCTTCACCGGAATTCGCACAGCTGTCATGAAGTCCTGGATCACCAAGAGCTGATTGGCACACGCGCACTTCCACGCGATGCGCTCCCGCTGGCCAGGGAGCATCTGAGAGGCGCCTGTGGGGTCAACGATGTCCTTCTTCGGCTTGACCTCACTCGGAGGTGGCGGCGTCAGCCCCTTTCACGACGGCAGCGCCTTCAACAAATTCTACAGCTTCCACGACATACCCGACGACCTGTACCTCGAAACGTTCAAGGAACATGCGCTGGGGGACTGCCTGCTAGCGAACCAGCTCCAGGTGACCATCACTTGCTCAAGACATGCCACACAATGTGTAGTACACATCATTCATTCAGGAAGGGACACATGTCCAGGAAACGAAGTGGCCATCACCTAGCTTCGTACTTGCCCATGGAAAGCAGCTTCCATGATTTGCGCATGGAAAACAGGTGACCATCGCTGTTGGAAATGGACGCGAAACACATCTTACGATGATACGGAGCTAGAAGTACTGCTCGAGTTGGTAATCTGGTTTCTTAAACCAGTGACAAAAAAACAGAAGCAGAATATTCTGCTCCTCATTTGGTGTCACGGTGCAAGTGGAGTTGCAATTAATTTGATATTGCAGCGCACTATTTGCAGTGCATTATTTGAAATCTACCCAGATCAAAGAAGGCGTTGAAAATGCTCGAGCTGCGTATCTCGCGAGAGTTTTCTTGCACATCTCCAGACTGAACTTCCATATCGCTGTTACGTGAGTGTATAAGGTGTTTTCCAGTTCCCTTGGTCGCGGTTGAATGCTTTCCTTGCGAAATGCCATTAAGTATCATCTCAATGTGACAATGATTATCTGTTCAACCTGCGGCATGGCATCGTGTCACCCCCGCTTATTCCATCTTTCTCCGGCGAAATGGGGCTGGGCAAGAAGAGGGTATGTTCGGCAGGAATGCCTGAGTGCAGCATGGCGCGGGTGAATAGGCTTTGTTGTGAATCCCCGCATTCATTTGGATGCGTTATTCTTTTCCAAAGAACATACATCTGCTGCGTGACGTGCGTTGGTGTGACACATGTTACACTGTGACACTGTAACACAACATGTTACACTGTAACATTGATGTGCGTGTGGCCGGAAGAAATCGCGTGTATGCAACGCATTCATGATATCGTATGCATGCGTCGTACATATGTGTGGCCATGCCTCCTGATGTTCACACCTTGTTTTGGGGAGAAGAGGCAAGAAAAGGGGCCCCTTAGGCTGACATTTTTTGGGCCTTGTCGCTCAAGGTGGACGGAAGCCAGACTATTCTGAGGTCGCATTTGGGGCACGTGCTGAAAAGGGCGCTAGGACGCCACCCCTCAAAGATGGAGCTGGACACGTGGCTCACGTGAGTTTCTGGCCCACTGGGGCCTCAAGTCTCGGTGGCAATGCGCAGTTGGTAACTGAAAAATTTACCGCTGTTGCTATTATTATGTCATCCACGTTACTGCAGCCTCCTGATCTTGGTGCTCGATGGCACTACCCAACTTGGGTGGTGCACCTTGAAGATGCAGCAGGACAAGACGTGTCCGGTAATCGGCTGGCATATCACTTGTGTTCCTTAACGAAACAAGTGCCAAGGCAGTCGGTGAGAAGGCGATGAGTGGGCGCTTCTTCAAAATATGAATTTAGAACGTTGATCAGTGTGCCGGCAAAACACTAGCAGAAAACAAACAAATAACACTTTTAGCGAGCACATACATATGCATCTCATCAGTGTTCTGCATGCTGAAAACACGAAAATGACACAAACCCGTAAAATTTGTACACGTTTGAACACGTGTTATTTGGCCCTTTTTTTCCTATTGAAAAAATGCAACATGGCACATAATCTACTCTAAATACGAATGTGGTTGACCTCCAGAGTCATCAAAAATTAATTATTTGCATTTTGACGACAAGATAATTTAAAATCTTGTACTTGCGCTCAAATTTCTGATGTGTGGAAGGGATGTGTGCTCAACTGCAATGGCCGGTAAGCGCTGTACACCAAACACACAGCGCAAGTGTATGCAGGCTAGCACGGTAGAAAACGGCCTGGCATGGTTAAGTACGGTGTGGTATGGCGCTGTTCAAGATGTACCGCCATTGCCCTAACACATCAGCGGCTGATGCCCATGGGCTTTGGCCTCAGGTTCTTGGACTTCGAGACGCGCAGCACCATGGGATTGGACGAATTCAAGGTGGGCTTGCGGGCACTGAAGGACTTTTCAGCCCAGCCCGACTCCCCCGCAAAGTACAGGTCCTTCGACACGCAGCGCCTGGACTGGGTGAAGCACAGGCGGGTGGAATACGACCCCCAGAAGACGTTGAAGGGGCCAATCACAACTTCGCAGGTGCTCAGACAATGCCTTGCCTCGGTTTGAACGATGTCTGAATAGACACCGGCATTGTTGTTCGTCCATGTATGTCACGATTGTCCGATTCTTATCCGATTCACGTCAGGCAATGGATGCCAATTCGCTGGAACCCAATCTGGGCACGTACCAGATTCGTATGATATATTACTTAGGATTGGAGGTCCGGGAAGAGGGGCCGAAGGCCAACTTCACCAATTGACCACTTGCGCCACCAGGGCAGAAGAATCGCCCGGCCTTGCGTAAAATCGAACCAACTGACCTGAACCGGTGTGCATGATTGGCTCCATCAAGTCACCAGACAACAGTTGGAATTGCCGTCACGTGAGCAAGTAGTGCACGTAGTGCCCTTGCACCCCATGGCGACGTCTTTTCCGCCCGCGAATATTGCAAACAGTGAGCCGATTGCGTCGTCCAAAAAGAAATCACAGTTCGAGCAGTGCTGCCTCGCACAGCTGGCAGACTACACCAAACGCAGGTCTCTTTGCACGACAGCCCTGCTCTTTAGAGGATCGTCCAGTTCGCTACAAATGAGGCTGCCTGCTTGCACCACAGCTGTGCCATTCAAATGACTTTGTCAATCTTCGTCCATTCCTGGGGGCCTTTTCTGCGCTTACCCCTCAGGAAAGGCTCCTTTCCCACTTTCTCGTGCCGAGCTGGGCAGCGCATCCTGCTGTTCTCCGAAGACGGGAATCAAAGGTTTTGGAAACAAACACCTTGAAGGTGCGCATGCAAGTTGCATGCGAACAGTCCACGACCCCTAAAAGCTGAAAGCTCACTGATACCGAATCAGCCATTCGACACAATCTGGTTGGGGACACCCTCATCGATGTCATGGCGGATTCAGCACCTATTCAGGCCCTGGCACAGTTCTTCTGCAACACCTGCCTTGACACTGATGAGTACTTGCCGTATCTGTGAGAATTGAGTGTCAGGGGATGGATGCAAACCCGTGACCAAGGGATCATTAGATAGGTGGAGCGGCTTCGACCACCGCCACACGGTCGCATCAGTACCCGTCCATTATGGGCCATTCCAGGTATATACACACATCAACACGTCATTCCAGCATTTTGTAAACGGACACAATTCTTCTAATTTCGGCAGGAGATCGGTTGGCACAGTCTGAAGGACCCGGCGTCTGGTCGAGAGGATTACTTCCCACGCCGCGGGACCGATGTGACGTTCAACGAGGGGCGAGGACTTGCGGACTACTACGGCCACATCGTCATGATGTGATCGTAACACGGAGCCCGCCCAACAGTTTCTGCACAGGTCCAAAGTGGCACACTTCTCCACAAAGAAGCAAATAGGCGGATACGAAGGGTGAACAAAGAATGGTACAAATTTGCGCCCAGCATCGGCTGCGAGGATCAGGTACACTTTTGCATTATATGTATCAAAATTTGAGACATACACTGCAAGCAGTGCCCAGTCATCTGCAGGGGCTGAACAACGAACCCACAGAAGCACCGCATTTGGAAGCAGATGCCGGCCAGCACTGCCCGGAAGGCTCATGCTGTGAACCTTCGGGCCTTTGGGCAGTTCTGTGCCACGTGCTCATAAGTCGTGCACTGAATGGCATATGCATGGTTGCCATGATGCGCACACCCCACGGGGGCTCGAGATGATGCAGGAGTTGGCTCTGAATTGAAAAGAGATGGAGCCAGGCTTTGGGGAAGTGTTCCATCCCCAAAGCAATGCGGCTTGTGTTGTGACTGTGTGCAAACCGCCATATGCGAAGCAGCACATTGGAATCGGAAAAACTGTCCCACAACACTAAACTGCTGGCAGTCGTACATGAGCAATGTGGATGGTGTGGGACAAGTCGCGCAATCTCAATCTTGCTCTGGTGAAACCTTTCGCCCAGTGCCCAAAGCATCTTCTTCCTCACGGACATTTGTGACGACCACCCCATAGAGAACATGGTAACGACATATGTCCCATTGAAAGTTCAGTGCGCGTATCCCATTCACAGCGGCACAGTGACGTCCAAACATACAGCAGCAGAGCTGGACGCGCGGTGCAGCCGCCTCCGATCGACCCCTCCAGAGAATATGGAGCCCAAGGGGTCCTCTGCCGGCCATCTTGCGCTCAGGGCGAGGTGGGCTTCCCTGTGACAATCGCCACGCCATCGGAATTTTGACATGTCAACTGCTGCCAGCCGTTGAGGAACGCAGCAGGTGCGCTCCTTGCAGACTGCGCACCTTGCGCGTGGTCGCCTGTCGAAGTTCGCGTTTCGATCGTCATTGAAATCGGTCGTCGCCATGTTCTGTGGGGCGCAGAGCGGCTGCCGCATACGTGCCAAAACGCCCACACGCCTAGCAGACGCGCACAGGCTCCCCTAAACGGCCTCGCAGCATCAGCCACAGCGCCAGCCAGAAAATGCGCCGGCGTCCCACCCCCGTCTTCCCGAGCCCCACCACCGCCAACGGAATAAAATAACCTCCATCCAACCCACGGGTCCACCCATCCGCCTCCCCACTTTGTAGAAAAAAGGCCTTAAAGAACAGGTTCCTCAGCCGCCGTCCACGTAGTCGGCCGTCGGCTTGAGTTCGTAGCACGACACACTGGCCAAGAGCCACTTGTATGACAGGGCCTTGAGGCCCGCCTGGCGCATTGCGGCCGACACGTGGGCCGGGAACCTGGGGCTGGCCCTGCTGGCGGGGTCGCTGAGGACGAGCAGGCCCTCGGGCAGCGCCCGCGCGGGCGACAGGCGAGCCAGCAGGTCGGCGCCCGAGGCGGTGGCGAGGGCCTTGATCCTGTCCTTCACCCCTGGCTCGAATGAGCCTGCATGGAAACGAAGAAGAACAAAGGCTCAACACAAGAAGGCACAAAGGCCCAGTCGGTTTCTCCGATGGTGCTTTCCTTTTCTCACTTAGGGGGGTTGAGTGGTTGGGAAGGGGAGGGGGGAAGAAAGGGGGCTAAAAGTTTTGAGGTTCGGAAGCATGTGTGCATTGATTGTCTTGAATAGCGCATTGGTGAACCAGATACATGGCATTATGCAGGAGATTACGTTGGTGGCCAGGCTAGGTAGTCGGGCTTATAAGAAATTAGACATTGGCATGCATGGCAATAGTATGTGGCCGACACGCAATCAATGTGGAAGGTCAGATTGGGACTGCAAGTCCATGGACAACAACTATTTTGCTAAGCAAATAGTGTTCCTGCACCTTGGAAGGCGGTGGTAGGCATTTGTGGTTGCAAAGCCTTGCGTCAGACTTCTCAAATCCATCAATGGGTGGGAGCCAAATGTTATCGAGCAAGGAGGACAAAAATGTTGTGGATGGCATGCTGCTCACCAGCGATGTAGATGGCCTTTCCATTCAGAAAGGGTGGATCGCCTTTGGCAGCTGCCAGCCTTCCAGCCTTGGGACCCCCAGCTCCCCCCAGGCTGTCTCCCCTTATCTGTGACCACATAGTTGTCAATGTCTTGCAGCAGGTATATGTAGTGACAGGGCTAACGATTTTGATTGAGCATTTTAGGCATGCTCACAAGGTAAGCTCCACTGGAAAATTGAATGATGGCTGCTGACACAACAGAAAGAGCACAAGGCTGAAACGTCAGTTTTGTGATGGCAAGAATTGAGCAAACAGCAGGCTCGTGACCATTCAATGGCAGTAATAGCAACACATCAGGAGGAATCTGCACAGTTCATCCACAACAGGGGCTTATGGAGGCACAGCAGTGTTGGGGGCCCTCAAAAGTTGTGAGGCACTATGTGCGATTGGCTCAAACTCTTCCTCCCCTGCCCAATTTTCCCAAGTGCATATCTATCAAAATTGAAGCAAGATTAAAGAAAAAGCCAGCAGAAAACCAAACAAAACTAAGCCCACCAAAAGACAGCAGCAAGGGATCAAAGATATCCCAAAATAAGAATCAATTGATACGAGATAAGAGTCCAGGACCATTTTTGGATGACAATTGTGCAAGTCTCCATGCAAGACTGCAAAGCGAAAAACAACATCAGCACCCTTTCAGGTGGTAGTGCCACTAGTCTGTACCTAGCCAGAGCTCCGTCAACATAGAGCTACATTATGGTGCTGTGCTTCAGCACTTTGGTCAAAGACATTGATCCAGTGCATTAGCAAGAAAGACAGTATGTTCTCTGCCCATGACTCTGTTCGACCTACCTCAAAGGGCTCCTCGTCCACCAGCTGGCCAGCCTCAAGGCACCGCGTCACCCAGGCTTCACTGACCACCCAGCAGCCCCTCAAAATCCCCAGCAGGTATTTGATGGTGCGTGTGGCCTTGTTGCTGTCGTCCACCCCACACACCACATGTGTCACCTCCTCATCTCCCATCCACTCTGCCAACGCCCTGGCTCCTGATGCCACAAAACTACAATATTTGGCAAAGCAATGCACCAACATTTTTCCTTCCACTTATGTATTGTTGGGGACAGGTAAGTGGGAGAGTCCTACAGGTGACTTGTGCACCACTGCAATGTCCGATGGCTGTTTCAAAGAAAGATCCTTAAACCCTCTGCAGGTGTGCCATGTCCTCACCTTGGACAATCTCAACAATTGAGCACACGTGGAAAACACGACAGGCAGAATCAGTTGCTTCTCTGTTTCCTTTCTCAGCATGTGTGGAAATGGGGCAAGGCGTTGATGTGGGCCCCTACTGGAGATGTCTGCATGGTTAGATGACAGTTTGTTCTAACATCTTTCGATCATATCTGTGCCACTTATGTATCTCCCATCTGCTCGCTGGCCATGGTGTGAAAAATGTTCCAGTTCCAGACACATGGGCGAATATCTCATTCGATGGAAAGAGAGACATGCACATCGGTGTGCTTTGCAACAATCGACACAGCCCGGCTGTGCTGCGACGATGGCGAGGTTTTCGTTTCTGCATTGTAAAAGACCATTCCAAAGCACAATAGTGAGATTTCCTGCCTGACTGAGTAGCGAGTGCCTCGAGATCCTCCTTGGAGCCCTTGGAATCCGTCATCAACAACTGCCGTGATGCAGCCTTCCCCTTGCCTCCATTGCAGTCGCGTCCACTATCCTTCTGCGCAGTTTTGGCACATGATTGATCAAACCGCCTCGACCGTTTGGCTGATGGTGCATTTTGCCTGCCTTGCAGCGGCGTCCTCTTGATGGGGGTCAGAGAAGCTCTCCGTCTGTGCAAGATCAGTTTAGCGAGCATGAGTTTCCTTGTGTTGTCTGTGTGCAATATATGTTCGCCATAAATGATGGCAAAATTCTATTTATCTCACAATCTTACAGCGCTGTACTTCCCTGGCAGGGCAACCAGCATCGATTTGTGAGAAAGTGTGGCAGCCCTGTGCCACAGGCCACCGAAAATATCTATTGTCCTCACGAGTACTCACTAAGGGCTCTTGTTCTCTAACATCTTGGTATTTCAGGCAAGCAAGGCTCATCCCCTATACATTTTTAGATTCAAGTCCTGGGACACTTTGGATGTGTTGTTTGGAAATTTGACTTCAAGATATATAGTCGTACACACTGTACAAAAGTGTTCCAGCCCTTCTGCATCGTCCAACTGTCTTGTCCCAATAACCAGGTTTCAGAAAGTATGCTAAACTAGGCATGAAACTTTGTTGAAAGCATCGACTTTAGATTTGCACCAACCCCATGCCAGCCATTCCAGCTTGCACACAGCCTGCTGCAGAGCTGCCTCGGGGCAATTGCTGCCCATTCAGGGATGCCCACTGCAGGACATGTAATACATGGTTGGGCAAAATGGTTACAAGCCCAACTATTAGGGACTTTCATTCAGATTTTAGTACTTTGGCCCCATACTCATTTCAGCACAGTGAGGCAATGCCTTAAAGGGTGTTGCAGCCCCTTTCTTCCCAAACAACAAAGAAAACCTGGACTTGGAACAAAGAAAAAAGACATTCTTGGTGCTGCTTCATTGGCCCCACCTCTTCCGTGCTGGCGTTGTCCTCAGGGCAGAGTCGCAAGGCATGCACTGCAGGCCAGCATGGTCAGGGCACAGCATCACATAGGAGCCCCAATCGAAACGGCACTCATCGCCGAGGGCCAGAGCACAGGGGAGGTGAAAACTTGCTCGGCAGCTGTGCCACATTGAGAGCCGTCAGCACAAAAGCAGCAGTGGCGAGTGCCACAGCCATCAGCATGAGGCAGACATCCACAATTTCACAGTGTCAGGCCAACAGCATCAGGACAAGTTCCATTGATGTCAGTGGCCAAAAGCATGGGAAGGCGGTAAATTGGCATGTCAAAGCACCACAAATATAATGCTTTACCCTGTCGCGTTCATTCAATGTTGGGTCAGTGTAAGGAGATAAAAATACACATAGCTCGCGCAACCATGCTCGCTCGAATGGTGCACATGCACACACACTTCAGCTGCAATCCATTTGCCAAATTGCAGGAGACTTGCACAACCTGGCATGCCTCGCATGCTAATCCCAAAACCACCCACCCACAACCACTTTCTTCCGAACGAGAGCGAGTGCCAAAATGCGCTCCAAGGCGCCCGCCCTAAGGGCGTTAGCACACCTTTCTCAAGTGAAAGGCAATCGACCCGTCGGGTCGATCGCCACAAACACTATTTTCAAACTTGACCCTCCCTCCCCCCAACCCCCACGCCACTCGCCTCCAATCGGCGGCCAAGGAGGCACCTCAAAGCGCTGCAGTGAGGCCGCCAAGCCTCTTTGAGGTGAAAGACCACGGCGATTGATCCATTGGGTCAATCGCCGCGGACGGAATTTTCAAATTTGAACGTGCACCAACCCGCCCCCACCCCTCTAAAACCGCCATTCGTTCTAGTCTATGACCAAGAGGCGCCAAGAGGCACCTCAAAGTGGCCGCCCAGGTTGCTCGAAGTGAACATCGCTTCGAGCGGCCAGTTGCGTCAATCGCCTCGAACCGTTTTTTTCGCATTTGCTGCCCACCCCACCCCTACATCCCTCACCCATCGCCCTCCTAGACGCGACTCGAGCCATGGCCGTGGGCGATGGCAATCGCCACCGCCGACCACTCGGCCAAGTGCCGCCTGGTTCACGGCCACCGCGCCCCGGTCAAGAAAGCCCGGGGGGGATGGACTGTGAGTGGGCGGTCGGCGGCCATGCCGTGCGCCGGGTGCCGGTCAAGGAAGCTGGAGGGAATGGGCATGAGTGGCCGGTCGGCGGCCATGCCACGCTGCGCCGCACGTGCCCTATGTGCCGGTCAAGGAAGTCCGGGGATGGGCGACGTGTGCACTGCCGGCGTTCGTGCTGGGCGCCACCCGTGCGCCGCGCGCCAGTGCAGGGCCTGGGAGGCCCACCATGGGCGTTACGGAAGGCGCGTAACGCTCGCGTGCGTGACGCGAAAAAGTGACCACGCACGCATGGGGCGTGGCAGCAGAGGTGTCCCAGACCCCCCCCCCCGCCTTAGTCATGCCCAAGCCCAGGCCAGCAGGCCGCGTGAGCCGGCCGAGGAAACCCGGGGAAGGCCGGCGGGAGGCAGGGTGCCGCCCACGCCGCGGGGCACCCGTGCACCGTGCGCCGGTTCAGGGATCGCGATGCTGGATTGTGAGTGTGCGATCGGGGCCATGCCATGCGCCGGGCGCCGGGCAAGCAAGCCGGGGGAATTGGACGTGAGCAGCCGGTCGGCAGCCGTACCGCGCGCTGCGCCGCACGCGCGCCGGTAAGGAAGCCCGGGAATGGGTGGCGCGCGCACGGCCGGCGCCCGCGGCATGCGCCATCCGTGCCCCGCGCACTGGTGCAGGACCACATAGCAGCCGAGAGGCTCACCGGACGTTACGGAAACCGCGTAATGCCCTAGCGCGTAACGCGAAAAAGTGACCACGCACGCACGGCGCGTGGCACCAGAGGTGTCCCGGACCCCCCCTCCCCGCCTTAGTCATGCCTAAGCCCAGACCAGCAGGCCACACCCGCCGGCCAAGGAAACCCGTGGGAAGCCGGCGGGAGCCGGGGTGCCGCCCACGCCGCGCGGCGCCTGTGCACCGTGCGCCATTGCAGGGATCCCGGGGATGGGTGTGAGTGTGCGATCGGCGCCCATGCCGCCCGCCGCGCCGCACGCGCGCCGCGGGAGGCGCAAGGAAGTCGGGGAGGGTGTGAGTGGGCGTTCGGCGCCCATGCCGCGCGCCGCGCGCGGCGCCAGTAAGCCCGGGGATGGGGCGGTGCATTCCCGGCGTGCGGTCGGCGGCGCGCGGTCGGCGGCGTGCGGTCGGCCAAAATCGCGATTTTGCTCTATAAAGCTCCGCTCGCTTCGCTCGCTCGCAACAA